CAGTGGCTGCACCAATTTATGTTCCCACCAATGGTGCACGGAGGTTCCTTTTTCTCTACATCCTCACCAACACTTGTCATCTCTTATCTTTTTAATTTCAGCCATTCTCACAGGTGTAAGATGATATCTGGTGGTTTTGGTTTGCATTTACCTGGTTGGTATCCAAAATACATAAAGAACTTATACAACTCAACACCAAAAAATAATAATAATAATAATAATTCAAAATCCAATTAAATATGGGCAAAGGACCTGAATAGACATTTTTCCAAAGAAGACAGACAGGCAGCCAACAGACACATGAAAAGATGCTCAACATCTCTCATCATAAGAGACAGCCTTGTGAGACACTGAGAGACTCAATTTTTGCGTCCTTGCTTATAATATACATGGACCTGAGGTTTTCCTTAATTCTGCTGTTCTTGTACCTAGATTAGATTAGCCCATAGAATGCTTGGGTAGACTTCTCTGTCCTGTTCATATCCTGGTGCCATTTGCATAATATAGTTTGTTTTATATTTTGCATTTGTATGTGTGTGTATCACTCTAGTTGAACTATCTCAGCCTGGGCATTTTCAGAGTTGGAGCAGATCCGTCGCTTTTCAGTTTCATGGGTGATTATTGGTCTGTTCTCTTCCAGGGCCAAGTTTTGTCATTTGTATTTTTGTCAAAAATTCCCCCCTTTTATCTAGATTTCCAAATGTATTGGCATACATTTGTCCATAGTATACTCTTCTGCTTTCTAAAATGTTTATACTCTATCTGGTATGTCTCTTTTGCCATTTATAGCATTACATGTGTTATTTTTTATATAAATCTTTAAAAATTTTTAATGTTTATTGATTTGAGAGAGAGAGAGAGAGAGAATTCGAGCAGGGGAGGGGCAGAGAGAGAGGGAGACACAGAATCCGAAGCAGGTTCCAGGCTCTAAGCTGTCAGCACAGAGCCCTACACAGGGCTCGAACCCATGAACCGTAAGATCATGCATGACCTGAGCCGAAGTCAGATGCTTAACCGACTGAGCCAACCAGATACCCCTTTTTGTGGATAAATCCTACCAGAAGTTTGTCTATTTTATTAGTCTTTAATAGGACCAGTGTTTGATTTCTATAATCAATTTTCTTTTCTTTTTTGTTTTATTCATCTCTGCCTTTTGCTTTATTATAATTTCC